CACCAATTGGATATTATTGTTAAGATGTTGTATTTATTTTAAATAAATGTACACGTGTAGCTTACTACAATTAGCACTATAATTTCAAAAAGAAACCCCACCGATTGGACATATGCCGAAAGGTAGGCAAGACGCGTAGCGACCAAAATTTGATATTGCACGCACACACAGTATAAATCTCGTTTTCCTAAGAATATTGCACGGATCCTTCGTGATCATGATACAAACGCACTGCATCAACATCATATAGGCCAAAATGATAATTGGAAACGAATTCACTTCCTGTTGCAACTTAATCTCCGTTACCATTACGCCTAAAACCATGCAATTAAAATTAAAATGTTGAACATAAACTTTACTTACTTACGGTTTTTTTGATATTCTGCAAGCCAGCAATGAATTCACTGCAGCACATCATGCCAAACAAGGTAAACATAGTCCCAAATTTGAATGGTGTAGCTCTATGTAATAACTATTTCAGGAATAACAATTACGGACGCGTCTATAATTATGGTAAGCACTAATGTTATTCGTATTTAATTGATAACGCAATAATTATATAATATTTAGTGAAAAAACCGCCATTTAGTTAGATTTGATTTCGCGCGATCGTGAAATGTGTCAACTGTCACATGACTTATCTGGGACGCGCTAAGTTTGTTTTAAGCGTCCGATTCGCGTACGACATAGTTGTTAATGCGATAAAAAGAGATAGAACACGTATCTTCTTGGTTAGAAAGTAATGGAGAGATGTACAAATTTCTTTGATATGTTTTTTAAAAACCGAGGTACGTTTGTTAAGGATGGCTGTATCTAGGTATTTATATATCTATGTTTTTCCCCATTATTTCTATGTTTTTCCATAAAGTCCCTAGATTACTAAAGTAGCGCGAATAGCACCCATTTTGGCTCAGTTTGTGAACCGCGAAATTTGAAATTGAACAGTTGGAAAGTATGTAATATAATGTATGTATTTTGTAGTCGCTCCTGGATTGTGCGGATACTTGGATAGGGCAAGTTTTGTGAGTGTATCGTTTAATAGCCTCTTAACATCACAAGAAAAATATAGTTGCATCGTTTTTTCAATCGTTTCTCCACTCCACATAAAACCCTTGTGTATACCCAATTCTAAATGTTTTAATTGACTTTCATTAAAAGTATTCGAAAAATTGTCTTCACTTCTGAGCAATTTCTTTTTCGGTTTCTGTTTTCTTGCAAAAGTGCCTAGATGCGCTTCTCTAATGAATTAATGGTTACATCAGTACTCTCCTGATGTACAGGGTGGCCAACTAATAATGCGAGGCACTAATCTGAGAATCTATCCATTGTAGAGGCTTGCGGTAAAAAAATTTATTACTAAAACGGCCACGAGCAAAATCTGGAAAATATTTGATGCGGTTTTCGCGAGCTTGTTTAGGCATCATTTTGCTACTTTTTCATGAAAAAAAAAATCAAATCAACGCATTTAATTTTTTTGAGAAAATTGACCATTTCTGTCGGAATGTCGAAAAAAGCCCTCAAGCGGTGATATGTGAAACTAACAAAACTTCAAATATTATAATATTTGTAGCCGAAGAACAACTCTTTTCAATTAACCCGAGTTTGTTAAAATCGGCTCAACCGTTTCGAAGATACAGGGTGTTCTTTACGGAAACCTTTGAATACCCCCCATCACTTCCTTTTTAGAGATACAGGAAAAATTTTCAAACAAAAAAGGTTCCGATTATCGTCGTCTTCAAAGACCGGACATTTTTGTTATGTTAATATAGCGGAATTCACAGAAAAATCACTTTTTTAGATTCCAGATTGCAGTTACGCCCCCTAGCGGCCATTTCAGAAACTTAAAAATATTTTCCAGGTTTTTCTCATGGCCGTTTTAGTAAAACTTTTTTTACCGCAAGCCTCTACGATGGACAGATAGTACAGATACAGTAACCTCGCATTCTTATTTGGCCACCCTGTACACATAACATACTATTATAATACAAAATAACAAATGTGAAACCTGACACTAGGTGTCAAACGGCCATTTTGGCTCAATTAGCAGTTTGTTTTTGTCTAATAAACTGGCCTAATGAATCGCGTTACTTTAGTCATCTGGGGACTTTATTTTTCTCCATAATTGCCAATTGTAAGTATAGGATAAGTGAAAATAGCATTGCAAGTTTAGTGATCATTACGGTCCTCACAGTATGCGCATCGAAAACGTTTAAAATTCGCTCCTGAGACATCTGTTCTTCTAATTTTAGCCTTGTAGAGTCTTTGATAGCTTTCAAGTGTATTAAAAAACCTATAATTTCTTTCAAAAGCCTTTTACAGAATTTTTAACCTTTTAACCTTCATGAGCGTTAGTGATCTTTAAAGTCAAGGGCTTCTAAGAGACACCAACAAGATCTAAGGGTTTCCAAACGCCTTGAAGTCCGCTCAAGGCTTTTAGAGTCGTTAAAACATTTAAAGAACCGCTAAGAGTCCTCTAAAATTAGTAAATCTTTTATGAATATTTTTAAATATCGCAAATAGTTTTAATGAGCTTCGGAGCTTCCAGGAGCACCAAAGAGTGCCAAAAGAACTTCTGTATGCTCTTAAGAACCCCTTAAGAGGTGAGTCTAAAGAACCCTTAAATCGTTTCAACAATATTTAAGTATCTTTAAAAACGGTGTACGTATTTGATCAATCTTTGTGAATATTTTGAGGTTCGTTTCATCTTTAAGGGCTTTTAATACTGGTTGCAAGTCCGGAATTTCTACGAGTCCTTTTCAGTATCTAAAAGCCTTTAAGAGGTCTTAAGCGCCGTATTCAGCCCAAATAGTCTGAAAAGAATATACTTCAGAGTCTTCCGACTTACAAGGCCTTGCAAGTTGCAACGGTTAACTTGTTACTTTTAAGGAATTTAAAAGTCAGAATTCACAGGGGGGGGGGGGGGGTCGTTGGTACTTCATATATTTGTAAATTACAAATAAATTAATTAATTAATGCATGATGGTTTATTTATGTCATCAGTTCTAATAATTTTGTGTTGCGGAAAATCGAATTTGTGCACTTTTAGCTTAACGCCATCGCAGAAATATTTCAAAAGTGCACTAAACGAAAGCACTCGTAGGCGATTGGATGGAGGTATTTAATGCCGTTTAGTGGCTATAATAGGCAAACACACTGATTACGTTGCTTGTTAACGTTAATTTTGTGGTTGGGCTCCTTTCAAACTTTATTAATAGACAATGCTCAATCGTCCATCTCGGTTGAGTAACATTAAAGAAATTAATTGCGGAAAGAATGGGCTTGAGCTTTTGTTAGGATTGAATTTGATATAAATTGAAATGAGTTAATATAATCCAAAGATTAATTAACTAGTACTTTGCAACCCTAAAATCCTTATTGGAATCGATACCACATCCACACTAACTAAATTTACAGGGAATGTGAAAATTTCGCGCAATATATTACGGTAAACGCTAAGCCAATATTATTCCCATAAAGCTTCTTTCTTGAGCTTATTAAGTTCAGGTTCTGAGAGACTCGCATCTCCGCCATAAAGCATTCTTCTTTATGTCCAGCACACGGGTAGGCATACAATAGCTCTGCTACGCTTCCGGCAAGCAAATTGCAATGGTAGATTCTAGATGTTATATAATAGCTTCAGAGGCGTACAATGTTGAAAGTTAAAAAGAATAAATTCATTATTCATTTTCAGACGTTTATATTTATCTTCAGAACCGTTTCCAATACTTACGTTGGTCTCACTTTAACATTCTCACGGATAGCGCATTTTGCAGTAATTCAAATGCGGAAAAGATTAACTAGTTACGGCACTGGAAAACTAGGAAACAATTTTACACCTCTCACGAGAGAAATTTCCACTCCCGTTTAAAATTGGGAAATTCTTATCAGTTTGTTTATCTTAGTC